TTTGTGTCGTGATAACGGTGCTTCCTCGCGCCTCCTAGGCCACCACACACGATCTCCATGAGCGTCACTGCTAGGGTCCACCGCGCCAAAAACCCACGCGTCTCGGTGGTTACCAGCACGAGGCCCTTGTCCGGCACGGCGCACTGGTGCTCAACCTGGATGTAGTCTATACAACCACATCAGCACCGTATCGGAACCATCGAGGGCTCGGAGAACGTTTCAGAGGTTGTACTCGAGCGGTGGCCCTCCGTGCCACGCACTCTCCCGAAGCCGCCAAGATGCGACGCACCTGGCCGTAAGACAGCCGAGTCCGATGGCGCCAAACTGCTGAAGGAGGAGGCCGTGGCCTACTTGAACGCGGACTTGCTAGTTGGTCTTCTCGTGGGCGCAAGCCGATCCATCATTGACAACTTCGTGTAGGATACGACCAGTCTGTTGCCGGCAAACGCGTTCCACGGCCACAACAGCTACCAGTACCTGGGCGTTATCTGCGTTCGGACTGATCTACGTGTCCTACGGGACTTACCACAGCAACATGGACAGACTGCACTACATGGAGACGCAGCGGGCCGCACTACAAGTCCCGCTTCAGTATGGTCCAGTAAGTGGTGGGTCGTGCTCGCCATGCATTTCGCCAACGACGACGTCATCCCCTTCGACTTTTTCTCGTACGCGCTCGTCATGCTCATCATGCTTGGCGGGACCAGCGTCTGGTGACATCGATAATTTCGGCGCAAATGCGGATGCATTCCAAGCCACGCATTTAGAGCTGCAAACCAGCACAGTTGCACCAGCGCTGAGCGCCTGAAACTAAATTATGGTCCAGGTCGAGCGGCAATTGATCTCAAGCGACGAGCCCCACCGTCCGTGGTAGAAGCACTTGATCTACGGGGCGAAGCGATCTCGGCATTGCGGACGGTCTCGCATACTCGGCACGATTCAGACTCGCGTCGACGACATGGTCAACTTGACAACTGATGGTTAGATATTTGCCCGCTTCAATCGCAGCTCTGGTTGCCATGCAAGTTTTGAAGACCGTCAAAGCTGTTTAATTTTGCAGCTTCTTTACATTTTACTTATCAAGTTACCTATTTTTTATGGCCAACATCTTCAAGATCAACAACCTCTTTCTCGTGTTTCATTATTGAAGTAGAATGTTGAGCCGCCTTTAGAAGTGGTATGCCGTCGCACAGCTACCTAAACGCATAATCGTCACATAAACTAAAGCATGAGATTCGACTCAATTGTGCTAACGCTTCTGTAGCGTGGGCTGATTACCTTCGTTCCGTACGAATGCTAATCAAGCAAACATACAACATGAAATCGTAAGCGATACAAGAAACTTTAAAGTGACGCATAGACAAACACTGAAAGCAACGCATGCATTATCATTTTACAGTCTGCGACGAAGATTTCGGTCTTTGCAAGCCGTCTTGGTCATTTGTGCCAGCCTAAACTCGATCTTCTTGCTCAAGGGCAATGTGAGGAATGGCACAGTCGAATTCTTCCAATCCACAAACGCTGTTTTCCCGGACTGGTCCGTATTTATGATGTGATCAATCTCGAACAACTGAATCCGTTCCGAAGCAGGTGCGGTACTCTTCGATTCTTGCACGGACACCTCAGTGCCGTTTTTCCCAATGCCGCTCTTGAGGAGGGTTGCTGTCGTTATCTTCTCCCGGACACCCCTCACGTACTGGTCTTCTAGGACTGTTGTAATCACCATCTCCAGCTCTTCCGCGGTCGTTGCCTTGCTCACAGCAAACAAAACAATCGCACGGGCGACGCAATCATTCACGCGTAGCCCTTTTAGGTGGCCTTTGCAGAGTCTTTCACAGAGCGGACGCGAATCATGGCGGCTCACTTTCATGTAGGGAGGTTGCTGAGCGCAAATTAGGTATGGTGGTAGTGAGTTCATTCTTCCGCGACAAAAATGAAACCTCTGTGGACTTCAACTTGTGTTTCTCTCAATATAGATATATACATAGATATCATCATCCTAGCAACAGAAACTGGGTGCTGCTTTCGCCACAGACTACCCCGTGTCATGAGAGGAAGTGGCGCTATCTTCACATGAACCTCGGCATGTTAGTGTTTCTACATATTTTTCAGCTATGAGCAGCCGGCAAAGTTAGGCTTGGCCTTCTCGTGATCTCGCACGTGCAACTCGAACATACGGTATTGGAACGGTCCTCCAGCCGTTTATACATGAACGGCAACAGCCAACGGCGTTTTGCTGTTGAAAAGACGGCGACAACGGCAAACAGGTTGCCGTTTCTACAAATTCCTGGAAGTTGCTTGCTTTTGGGTGGAGAAGCGAGGAAAATCAGTCCAAACGTGCGCTTCCCACCGCCTAACATATACATCGAGCAAGCTGAACGCATTCACCACCGAGCACACGCACCTGCATTTGACCTGCTTGCTGGGGTATAACTACGATTGAAGTGTGTCGTGGGTGGTGGTACTAATTTGTATATGTCTATGTAGGATGGCTACATCAGCAATCTGCATGGCCTGCACCTCAATCGCAGTCATATCGCAATACCCCCTTTAGCATGGTGTCGCTGGGCTCACACCTGCACTGCTGCGTTGTCGTCAACGAGTTGATCTGTGACGTGATGCAAGTGGACGCCATCTCGCTGTCGCTGCCTGCGACTACGGCTGAACTGGGCAACACATGTGACTGGGCTCTGGTGAAACTCAGCAGGATGGCTACATTCACATTTTCCTGGACGTGCTGGTCTCGGGTAGTGGATTGAGTTAGTCCTGCTGCCTGGGCTATGATTACAATTAAAGTTGCTCTTGTGGCTACTACGACAGTACTGTTACTGAGTGAGCGCATGGCGGTGGAAGTGGCCTGCATCTACACCGAGACAGCTTCGGGCCTTCATTGCTGTCATCGTTGACTTGTTGGCAAGCGCACGGGCAGTGACGCATGGGTAGTATGAGCTATCGAGCTGGTCCCTGTATATGCATTGCTACTTGGGGATAACCGCTTGAGCTGACCGCTTGCGGCTATGCGTAGCGGTTAGACCTTAGTGCCAAGTTGTTCGCGAGTTGGTCAATATCGAAACGATGTCTCCCGTGAGGGTCTCGCGCGCGTAACCCAATGGCGTCACCACCAGCCCAAAAAACACAATAGGCTACTGCCGTAACGAGAGTGGATATCAAGCCAGTATTACCATTGGTGTTGGTATTTTGGTGCTCCGGCATGGCTACAGCTACATTGCGGCGGATCCGTTCGTTGGTGCAGCGTTCTCAGTGGCCTGTGGCTGATTGGGTTCTGATGGACGAATATTATCGTGACCACGTTGGTTTGAGGCGGCCTGTGTCTCGCGGGCCTTGGCCATGCATACGTTTAAAGTGGGGGCTCTTCGGGCAGTCGCTGCTTTCTAGTTGTATCGATCGCAGCGCTCTGGTGGCGCTCTCTGTCGTGGCGGCCGCCACAATTTCGTCAATGCGTTCGCCTGCAAAGTCCGCGGGCTCCTGGTTGCTGGCGTACGACGTCACGTGAGGTGGTGCGCGCCCGACGCTCTTGCTGCTTCATACGGTATCGGCCACCGGGCTCTTGTTGGCGCCATCCGGCATGGCTACAGCTACACTGCGGTGGATCCGTACGTTGGCCGTTCGTGATGCAAAATATACGCCGTACTTATGGGAACGTATTCGGTATTTGCTGGACATATGTTACACTGTTGAGGCAGCTCAGCCAACCAGAAAATGGTCAGCGGTTGCATGGGCTGCTCATTTCTGAATTGACTTTCTCCTGGAGCAAGTTTACAGCTCAAGAACACATACTCTGCGCAAGAGCGAAAATGGAGATTTCGGAGCTGTTGTGGGATGGAATGGGAAGCAACCGAGTGGGAAAATATCACCGATCCGGACGAGGGAGAAGGGGAGCAGATCGCACCAAGTGAGATAGCCCAGCAGTGCATTCAGCGGCTGTCTAGCGAGAGCGGATTGCACCTGTTGAAGCCCAAAAAGATTGAGCGAGCCTACACCAAGCATGCTGAAAAGGGCTTATTTGGTCTATTTGTGAGCACCAGACTGAAGAAGGCGTGGCGTATCTGGACAAACGCTGTCTTGGTGGCGAAAGGGGAAACTCCAATTACCGCAGAGGAGCTGGATGCGTTCATTGGACTCGAGCTGGCTATGAGCCTGGTACCCATAACCGATATGAAGGAACTGTGGTCTGACAAGAAATTTCAAGGCCATCACGATTTCAAAGCGACAATGAGCCGAACACGGTTCCAAACTATCCGTGGGTCGCTCCAAATCCACCCTCCTCTTGATGCAACCGAGACCGAGGATACAGCTTCATCTTCGGACAAGGACCCAAGTTGTGCTGATCCAGGAGTAGAAGCTATATATGGCGATGCTACAGAGGCGGACACAAGAGTCGGACCTGGAGATAACTCGGCCTCGACACCTATTGCACCGGAGAACGCAGCTCCAGTGGAATCGGAGGCTGAATGACTTGCTCGTCAGGATCCGCTATGGCACAGCCGCCACTTACTAGAGCACTTCCAGCGCAAGTTTGCAGCAACAGCAGTTCCGTTTGGTGTGAGCAGTCTAGACGAAAACGGTGTGCGAACCAAGGCTCGGAGTGCAGCGAAGTCTTTCATGCCACTGAAGCCAGACAAGTTTGCGATTCGATTCTACGCTGTAGTGGGCTGGGGCTCTCTGTATGTACACAGCCTATAGGACAATGGATCAGGAAATAAGCTGCCGACAACGCCCGCGCAGCGGTACACTCGGCTTTTCCCAAGAATGCGAGCTCCGTTGGACAATACGCTGCTTCGGGCGGATGTTCGGTTTAAGTCGGATGCTGCCGGTGCACTGTGGATGGCTATGATAGCCCATCAAACAAAACTCTTTCCAGCTCCATCGCAGAGGCGCTAGCTTGTGTGCGACAATTTTTATACACGGCATGATCTCGCCAATGCCGTTCTTGCGTTGACGGATGGAGAAGTCCGCATGCTTGGCACAGTCCGGTGAGACTGGGTTGGTCGCTTAAACAAAGCGGCCGTGGCGGACTCTATTTCGCGTCTCAAGTCGGCAGCGCGAGGAACATGTGAGTTAATCGGAGCGGTGGATAGCGTTGATGACACCAAGAAAGCAAGAGCCGATCATAAACGAGCTCAATCCAAGCCCCCTCGACACCTACGGGTCGTATTTACACCCCGCGTGACGTTCGCAGCGTGTGCTGGATTCATCGTGTTCAAGGATAAAAAACCGGTGGTGTTTTATACCAATGATTTGGCACAGACGCCTTCTGCTCGCGTTTGGATGGAACCAACCCCGAAGCTATTGCTTGTTGCCATAGATTGTACCCGATGCGGAGATGGACCGGTACCGAAGTGATACATCGGACGACATTTTTGGTTCCTACAGTTGTAGCGGCCTACAACCTGGCGATGAACGGTGTTGATCGTGTTGATCAGCTCCGGTCAACAAACCCGACACGACGAAAAGAGGTTAGACTATCGATGAGCCTACTCACTTGGGCTTTGGATATGTCAATCATCAACGCCTTTGCGCTAATGAAGCAGGTTGCCCCAGAGTCGGCAGACACGCCCAAAACCCTTCGTGAGTTCAAGCGGAGGGTATGTGAATCTCTCACAGAACCATACCGCCGTTCGCGAGAACGAAAACGCGCTTCATCAAAACAGCCAAGATGCGATTCGCCTTCCAACATGCTGGTCGAAGATCCGGCAGTTCATGCTTTGACTCCGAACAGCCATGAGAATTCAAGCGGCAAGTTGACATGCTACTTGTGTAGTTTGCGGGGAATTCAGTCCAAGTCTTCATACGGATGTACGAAGTGCCAGCGAGGTTACCACGTTGCTTGCTTCTGCGTGATGCACTACAAAGATGCGTTTCAAGCCTCTACCAATAGTGTCGCGCACGCCTTGGAGGCCATTCGCAGTGCCGAAAATGGAAACGCGCCCTTCAAAACGCGTAGACGTCAGAACAAGTCCATCACATCGTTATCCAACCTGGAGCTGCCGACTCAAGAACATTGAAGCCTAGACTATCGAGGAGCGGACAGTTTGACCGTGCCACAGAGTACCAACTCCTTACCTGTCTGAAATGGCGGCAAGGTCATAGTAATCGTCTAATTTGGATTGTATATTTTGAAGTTTAGATGCAAAATTCTTGAACACTGCATTTATTGATCGCGTGTTTTACAGGGCAAAGCGTTGGGCTCGAACAAACCGCTGCACTTGCGAGTGGAGCTCAGTGTACAATCTCGCTAAATGCAAACCAGAATTAGTTTCGTTTAGCAGCTCGATCACGATTTCCGCAACTTCTTGGAGCGTAAAGGTATCGTTCTCGACCCAGCGCGATCGGCAACAACGGAAAACGATATTGGGAGTTTCCGCTTCCTGCTCTGACAACGTGATATTAATGTTAGACAGTAGTGTAAACCATAACAACACAGAAAACTTACCGGGTTCACTGCGAGATAGTCTGCAATACAGGCTTGTAGACGTTCGTTGGCGACCCGTTGGAAGTTTTGACGAAGATCGATAGGGTTCCCGGTCTCGGTGAAGTCGAAAAGTAATGCATTCGCGTTGGTTACCTGTCGGGAGACGTAGCTCTCTTGGCCGGCGATAAAGCGGATTTCGTGGGCTCCTTCTTCACGTAGCGGCCGAAGCGTCATAGCGAATCCGTGCACGATGTCCTCCTGAGCCGGCGCGGTGGTCACTCTGTTTTCACAACGACGAAGCTGGCGCGCAAGCTGTTGGTGTAGTTGGAGTAGCGGGTTGAGGCGGGTTTCGACACCGTTGAGTAGAAGCATCTTCTTGCGGTGGTGGGAGGTAATTAGGCCTGTAATCTGGATGTCCTTGAGGCGATTAGTCTCTCTGAGGTCAGCGATGGTGGCGTCTCTAGTGACTATAGTAGCGTCTCGGGCCACGATAGTGTTCTCGCAGGCTTGAAGATCATCCCGAAGACGCTGGTTTTCAGCTTGGAGTTCCTCAATCGTCGGCATGAAGGGCTAGCCTCTGTGAGGAGGTCTGAGGGGCAAAGCGAGCGGTATAGATAAGAAGTCGGAGGGGGCACAGCGTCCAGCGAGAGAATTTTGATGAGTGGTGAGCATGTACCGAGACAAATATCACTTTGGAGAGGGAAATTTACAGCCAATAACGGAACGACAACGCATTGAGCGGCATAATATTTGGCGGCATGTTTACTCTCACGTTTGCGCTGTTGTTTGCTACACTGCGGATTTTACCTTCGGCTTGTATGCCTTGCTCAAAAATGGGGAAGGTTTCATTTTTGGGTATGGATGCGACAACCGCATGTGCCCAGTTCATATGTGTCTGCGGCTCCTACAAATTGTATGTGGAATACATTTTACAAGACGACGCTTTCAACTCGCAAATGAACAGCTTGATTGCATCATGATCGTTGATAAAGGCACTGACTGGGAAGCACATAACCGGGCCATCGAGGTACATGGATACAGAACCTGCAGGCACTCGTCTGTCTCTAGGTACCAAATGGCACTGAGTCAGGTAATATTGGTACCGAGGTTAAAAAAAGGGGTATTCTATTCAAATAGATTTCATAAATTTCACCAAATGTAGAGATTTTGTTGTGTGGCTCTGAATGCTTCAAGAGCTCTATGTTACACGAATGCTGTAGGAAATAGGAAGTGGTGGCAACGGTCGTTCGAATGTAAAAAGCACTTGGCGAATCTCGTATTGACCAAGAAAACAGTATGATCACCTTGTCGCCTGCTAGTACGGGAGTTGTTGAGGACTAGGTCGCGCCAATCGGGTGTAGAGTTGCGCTAGCAACAGACACACACACCAATAGGTACCCTGTCGGTATCTACAGGTACACAGACTATCAGGAACGTACACGTGTGTATTATACGATTCGAGCGTCACCCTGAGCAGCTTGAATAAGGCTCTGCGCCCACGTATACATCTCGAGGAAGCACCACCGCGTCAATCCTTGATGTTCTTGGTACCCCTGGTCTCAACGCTTCACCACGTCCGTGCAGCCTAGCGCAATCTATCCAGCCGTAGGTCCTGGGCGATCCTTGCGCTTGCGCGGCGCTCTTCAAGCATTTTTGAAATCATGTTGTGGACATCTCGGAGCGTCTCGTCCTGGTCTAAAGGATAGGCAGTAATACATTTAAGAACCCCCCTTCCCCCATCGTAGCTATAGCGATAGCACTAACGCACCTGTCACCTCACGCAAACGCTGCATGGTCTGGCATTTCCAGCTTCGTGTACGTTAACCTCCGAGCAGACGCCCAGTCATCGCGCAGTCTCAGACACTCCCCCCGACGCTCAGTATCCGTGCAGCCTTTGCGTAGTATCCCAGCCCTCGCTTAGTCTGAGACGTTCTGCGCAGTTCTGGCCCGCTCTCTCTCTCTGTCAAAGCCGCCTGTACCAGTCCGTGCATTAACCTGCTAGCGATAGACATACACATGAGAGAGCAGGACGGGGGGGAGCAGGAGGAGGGGGGGGGTCGCTCACTATACATACACGAATAGCTGCCCAACCAGTCACTTGAGGTCCAAACGCGCCAAACTCCAAATGAGAGCCAGTAGAGCTAGTGGATTTTTGGAGGATGGGAGAAAGGGGGAGAGGGGGTGTCAAGATTTCGATTTTTGAAACATCGAAAATCGTCGGTAATTAATTTGCGTAATTTACCGGACTCGTACTGTATCACTCCTTTTAAATACGATCCCACTCAGTGCCTTTAGTCAGTCTCTTGCATCATTGCGCCACGGATATTACGTCCGCTTCCCGTGACAGTGCGAAAACCGTATTGCTCCTATTGCTTTTTCTGATTCATTCTCAAACTTGCAAAGCCATCCACACTACAACCTGCCCGCACGCCGCTTACCGGCGCCAACAAGAGCCCAGTGGCCGATACCGTACGAAGCAGCAAGAGCGTCGGGCGCGCACCACCTCAAGTGACGTCGTACGCCAGCAACCAGGAGCCCGCGGACTTTGCAGGCGAACGCATTGACGAAATTGTGGCGGCCGCCACGACAGAGAGCGCCACCAGAGCGCTGCGATCGATACAACTAGAAAGCAGCGACTGCCCGAAGAGCCCCCACTTTAAACGTATGCATGGCCAAGGCCCGCGAGACACAGGCCGCCTCAAACCAACGTGGTCACGATAATATTCGTCCATCAGAACCCAATCAGCCACAGGCCACTGAGAACGCTGCACCAACGAACGGATCCGCCGCAATGTAGCTGTAGCCATGCCGGAGCACCAAAATACCAACACCAATGGTAATACTGGCTTGATATCCACTCTCGTTACGGCAGTAGCCTATTGTGTTTTTTGGGCTGGTGGTGACGCCATTGGGTTACGCGCGCGAGACCCTCACGGGAGACATCGTTTCGATATTGACCAACTCGCGAACAACTTGGCACTAAGGTCTAACCGCTACGCATAGCCGCAAGCGGTCAGCTCAAGCGGTTATCCCCAAGTAGCAATGCATATACAGGGACCAGCTCGATAGCTCATACTACCCATGCGTCACTGCCCGTGCGCTTGCCAACAAGTCAACGATGACAG